ATGAAGGTTAAAGTTTTACCAAACGTTCAGCTGTTCTGATTTCGGTAAAATTTACCGAACACGGAAACAAAATATTAGTGTGTACGTTGTATAAGCTGCCTGTATTTTGTTGCAATATACGAACAAAATGCATATATAAATTTAAAAATTAATATCTCTATAACACCAAACTTGAATCGTGATGCTGCCTTTAGCAAAGTTGTTCCTTATAGTTTAAGCTACGTGTGCTGAAATTCTGAGCTTAATAGAGTTTGCTGGACCAGTTCTATGTACGAAAGAGTGTAAGAATGTTATTTCTCCATACATTTCAACCAATATCCCCATATAAATTTTAATTCAAAAGCGCCAGCTCGTGTTACATCCGAATGAGCTGAAATTTTCAGAGAGTGGTTTAGTCACCTAATATCACAAATCTGGGGGTTGGCCTGTTGAAAAAAAATAAAATCCCCCATATAAATGTGGGCCAGTCTACTGTAAGAGCTTCGGTAATACCTAATAATTAAAGCAAAAAAAATTTGATTTTTTCTGTAAGCACACCGAACAAACTTGTGTTCTTGTTATAGTAGTTAACATTAATTTGACATGATCAAAATTATAATAGCTCTAAAACATTAAATCCCATAAGCACAGAATAACAAGTGTCGGTCGCCACTATACACAATGAACAATATCCCCATTATAAGTATGTGTCGTATTTTCAACCGTTGTTATAATGTATTTGATTTTAATCTGTTACTTAGGTTTTTCTACCGCGCTCGGCTGTGCAAATCTCGGCAAAAGTGACATTTGATTGCTGAGTCTCGGATAATGCTAAGCTCAGCTGATTCAATCTCAGCAAACAAATTAAATGTTTGCTGAGATCTCAGTAAAACTTTTTTTGCACAAACGATCTCGGCAGCAAAACTAAGTGTTTAGGACTACTTTAAGGGAGAATTTTACCCAATCTTTGTCTAGTAAATAGTTTGAATGTATTTATATTGTAAAAAACTAGTGTGTGTCATTATGGCTAGTATTTGAACCTGTTGATACTGATATAATTTAAAAAATTGAAAGTATAAAGTGACCATCATTTCCCCAGTCTACGGACCGTATTTCCTGAGCAAAAAAAGCAATGTAATTTGTTTCTCCTACGCGGTTTTTAAACACAAATGGTTAATAATTTGTAAGATTCCTGAATTCGGAACAGCTATGCTTTTAAAAGTGGTTTTATACTTATTTCGGGGAGTGCAAAGAGTCATCATTGCTTGGAAATTTACGTCGAATAATCATAATGTACGCTTGGTATTTATTAATATCATAAATTTAAGTCCGCATTTTCTCACCTACGAAAATTCAATTTCCACACTATATCTAGTTCGCAATTTTTCGATTATGTTTTGCAATTCAATCTTCCAGCCAGCTCAACCGATGCAGCCATCATCGATCAATAGTATAATATTTCGCCTCTATCTCGCTGTTTTGTCTTTTCCCCTGTGATATATTTGGTATAAATGTGTGTTTCCACCACTTCACCACCGCTAAAACCACTTCACCAGCCTAATCCTATCAATATAAATCGAAGCTGTATGAGAAAAACTGAATTTGATTTTAGTTTTTGTATATCCCCGTATATTCTCAACGGCACCGAATGTTATGAGCAGCTTTCGCAGAACCCCACCCAGTACACACTCACACCCACCATATATGCACCAGTATGAATATTATATATGGCATTTTTTCAGTTGATTTTATGTTTCGATTTCATTTTGAAGTCATAATCCTCATTCCAGATATTGGAGTTCGATATCAACCTTCTCATTTCCCCCACCCAATGTTTACCTAAATTCAATTTATCACCAAATACCCACCAGTCCTCCTTGACTTCCCTATGTTAGATCCTGATTTTAATTTCGATTTTTGCTTTAATTATTTTGAAACTCAATTCGGCACCAAAGTCAGACAGATGTCATCTAAGATATGGCACAAAACAGTAAGCAAAATTAGGTGGTAGCTTGCCGCAAACCGAAGCAAAACCGGAGTCGTAGACCCACAGCGTGGTGTGCATATGCATATAATTATCTATTATCCATATAACAATAGCTAGCGATTGATTGATACGTTTGTCCCTTCCCTAAGAAAATACTAAAAAAAAAGCAATGCCTATATCAACCTGTAACAATTACGCCTATAGTAACCTAACCGTGTTGTCAGCTAATAATATCAAACTAAGTCATTTGTACCCCGTTCTTTGCCAGCTTGCCGCTTTCACAGTGATACCTGTTTGGTTTTGCACCTCACAACAGCTACAATAACAACAAAAAACAATAAAAGCTAACCTACATTCCTTCGTATGCAACCAGTAGGATCGTGCGCTGCGTATTCTAAATATACCTACACACAAAGTAAAATACAAAACGAAATTAACACAGACCAGTGACGACAAATTCACATCACAAGAATAAATTGGATACGGTACTTGACGAAGAGAATGACTGCTATTGCTACCCGATTGTGTGCACAAAGGGAAACTAGTGCTGAGTTTGTTTGCTGGCTTTATTGTAACAGTAAATACATATCTAATATGATTTTAATGAAATAACTCTAAACTGATTAGGCGTGGAATATTTACATATCAGATGATAAAACACTCTTGTTAACACATGTAGGTGCAGGTTTTACACCAGGTGTGGATTGAAATACCATGCGCCTCCTCGATCTATTACCTGTTACATTCTTTCACCTATCACTGCCGTTTTCGATTGGATATGTGTATATCGATCTAATTTGGATATATAGCGGCAGCCTAGACAAATTTACAAGACTAGGGCTGGCAATTCAGCTAGCCATCAATTTCTAAAGATCAAAAGATATCACTGAGCTTCAACTCGTGAGCATTAGCTTTCAGTATACTGCTGACAATATTACTGTGATTTAAGGATTTCATTTTTCAATCTTTTATCTGAATATATATCTATGAAAAAATGGAAAAAACATAAACGGCACATAAAGAATTCACATTTTGCGTTTAAAATTATCAATATATGGATAAAAAACCAGCTGAGCAGCAATAACGTATTAAAAAGTAGCAATTGAAAATCAAGCAGATGAAATAACCGAAAAAAGAAACAACATTAACTTGAAAAAATACAGCAGAAAAATAAAAAAGTAGCAACATATTGTTTTAAATAAAATATCTTGAATGTTCCATAAATAATCCATGAATTTTTAATAACAAATCTGAAGGTTGCAAAAAAATTAAAATAAGCACTAAAATATCCAAACGCTGCCAATAAAACAATACGAATTTGCCATAAAAAATAAAAACTGACAAACTCAAAATTGATTAATATCCAATAAAGCCTTCAGCATTTATTAGTTTCAAAGCTAATTGTTATTGTTATTTAAATAGCAATTTTTCAATTTTATACTGCAATAGGAATTTCCTCCTTCTGAATTGCTTTTTATTTGAGATTTTGTCCGATTATGCTGTCGATTTAATAGGAACAAATGTTTTAGTTCACTTATTAATAATTTTAATAATCAAGAGAGAACACTTTTCAATTTAACTATTAACCTGCTGGTTTTTCCCGTTTAACAGCTACCAGTCGTAGTTTATTTCCGACTTCTCCCCTTTTTGGCATTGCAGCCGCCGCTTCGTTCTCCGACAGGGGCAACCCGTGTGCCCAGCGGTGTTGTTCCCAACACAATGAAAAAGCTAAAAATTACCTACAAACAAAAAATCGATCACTTTAGCTCCAGCTAGCTGTTGCAAAGTTGCCAGAAATGGCTTGAACTTTTTTTTTAAAGTGAAAAATACTATTCGCATTTCAAGAATCTATATATATCTATTAGCAAAACTAATCGGTTGGTTCTATTTTACGTGTTTTTTTTTTATCTAAAAAAAAACATTTTTTAACGCGTTAACAAAATCGATAATTTGAACCACTATAATATACTTTTCGATTCACTTTTACCGAAACTGTTCGAAAATTAACTTGCAGGTAAGTTGCATCACCGATTTCAATCGTTATTTGTCAAAATATTTTTGAGGTTTTTTTGTGAATCTATGTACTTGGAATTTACAGATCTATGAGACATGTATGACTCATGAATATCAATGTCAATGTTGTTGCTTCGAGACAGAATAAATAAAATATAATCAGTATTTTTTAAACAAACAGTAAAGCCAGCAAACCAGTCGCAAGGTTCCCATTCGCTTCAAAAAGTCAAATCGCTTCTGTGTGTCTGCACCTGCACAGCGTTGCTTCTACACTCCAATCAATCCATTTAAGCCTTGATCAACCAATTGCTTCCTCTAGCAGTATGCGCCTGTTGCTATTATGCAATTTATTCAACAACCCAACTGCGAGTGTAATGCAACATAAACTACTAGCATACATGTAAAACCTCTCCTGACATGCCGCCACTGCTCCCGCCCTCACAACCTTGCCTAAAGTATCAAAATATATTATACACGCTTTTCTGGCCTGAACTGAATTTCAAAGTAAATAAAGCATTTAGCTCCCCTCACCCAAATGCCCTTGAATATGAATAATACCTCCCGTGCACCGCTTTTAGTTTAACTCCTCTGAACTTACACATCATCTCTATTGGAGCAATTGTGACATATCGCCGAGGCTTATCTTCACCATAAATCGTACATAGTAAAATATCAATATGTAAACATTCCAACTTTCCACCCTGATGCTTTCAGCAAGTTTTCCAATGAACATCTGTTCTTGACAACAAAAAATGAACAACATTATCGTTATCGTGTAGATGAGCCAACAGGATATGTCATAATTCGCATAAAAAGCAGTGAAAGTTATACCTTTCCCTGCCGCACATCCCCCTGCCAATCGAACCTAAATCCCCATGCAAAAAATGATCTCAAACTTTCAACAACTTTCCCGTCTAATAGAAACCATTTTTTCTTTCTATCGTCCTCGTCTCTCTCTCTCTCTCTCCATATTTTCACGATTGCCTGCCCATCTACCCGGCTCCCGGAAAACGTAAAACAGTTCCACCTCGTTGGATTGTTGAACCAACCGACGTGAGTGTCGAACGAAACCGCCACATAACGCTGCACTGCCAAGCCCAAGGAGTTCCCACACCGACTATCCAGTGGAAGAAAGCAACAGGTGGGTTTCTGTCGCTGTTAGGCATACCTACGTATGGTTTTATGCTATAGAGTGGAAGCAAATCAACATAAATCACGTACAACGACGAATGTGTCGCTTCTGTCGTGCTACAAGATAAACGATAAGAATTTTTTATTGCTTTTCTTGTCTTTGAACTGATTCCAACAACAGGGAGCAAATCGGGAGACTACGAAGAGGTTAGGGAACGACCTTACACGAAGCTGCTAACGAACGGTTCACTGCTACTGCAGCACGTCAAAGAAGATCGAGAGGGATTTTATCTCTGCCAGGCTCACAACGGAATTGGAACTGGAATTGGGAAAGTTATTCAATTGAAAGTGAACTGTAAGTCAAATTTTACTGTTCAAATTAGAGGTCATACTAATGAGAAATCAATCTATTTCAGCATCACCCTACTTTTCGGGACAGTCTAAAATGGTAACGGTTAAGAAGGGAGATACGGCAATTATGCAGTGCGAAGTAAAGGGGGATAAGCCAATCAATGTAGTTTGGCTGCGTAACGGCAAACATGAACTGAATCCTTCTACCAACTATCGAGTAGCGATAAAGCAGGATGCCACTCCAGAAGGCATACACGCAGAAGTGCAAATATCCAGCGTGGAGAGCAGTGACAGTGGCGCTTACTTCTGTCAGGCCAGCAATCTGTATGGTCGTGATCAACAGTTGGTACAACTGCAGGTTCAGGAACCACCGCAGCCACCTTCATCTCTCGAAACATCGATGATTTCCAGTCGGTCGGTTAACCTCAAGTGGCACCCACGAGGTGGAGACGCCGCCGAAGTTACTAAATATATCATAGAATACCGAGAAATCGACCGCCAATGGATGTACATGGAACTTGACCCACCGAAGTATTCAGCGAGTATTGAAAATTTGAAGCCAGCGACAAATTACGTATTCAGGGTCATAGCTGAAGGACCTGCTGGACGCAGCTCACCAAGTCAAGAACTATTTATAAAAACCGAACCTCAAAGACCAGCAGGAGCTCCATTGAATCTCTCTGCTAGACCCATATCGTCAACGGAAATTCTTGTCAACTGGATGCCGCCTACCTACGAGCTTAGACACGGTGAAATTCAGGGATATAGCATTGGTTTCCGTTCGATGCACACTAATTTGAACAGCTACAATCATACATCTGTAGTCGGAGATGGCGAGGATGGTTCAGGCGAACTTTTACTTGGGAACCTTGCCAAATATACCCGTTATACAATAGTGGCTCAGGCCTACAACCAGGTAGGATCAGGACCTCAATCGGAACCTGTAACAGCGCAAACTATGGAAGACGTACCCAGTAAACCTCCAGAAGATATAAGATGCTCTTCAACAAGCTCCACGTCTATAAAAGTCTCCTGGCAGCCACCGCCACAGCAACACATGAATGGCCTATTGCAGGGATATACAGTATTCTACGAGTCAGTTTCCGAAGAGGCTATTAGCAATGGAGACATGGAAACTCGCAAGACCAGCTCCCTCATAGCATCGCTATCTAGTTTAAGAAAATTCTCCAACTACAGTGTTCAGGTCCTCGCTTACACGCGAATGGGCGACGGAGTCATATCACCTCCAGTATTCTGTCAAACCGAAGAAGACGCGCCGGAAGCCCCATCAGACATCAAAATAGCCATCAGCTCACCATCATCGTTATACGTTTCGTGGCTGCCACCAAATGAGCCAAATGGAATCATCACAAGGTACAATCTTTATATGCGTGCCGTCAATGGTCGCGAAGAACTCAGCAATGATAAACGCAATCTACTGCCCCATCAACACTATTTCGAAGCAAAACAACTACAAGGTCACACCGAGTATCAATTTTGGGTATCGGCATCGACGAGGGTCGGTGAAGGCAAAAGTACTCGGGTTGTTTCACTTATGACCAGCAGTCGAGTGCCGGCGAAGATAGTCTCCTTCGGAGGTTTGACCATCAGACCGTGGAAAACGTCAGCCTCGCTTAACTGTATGGCCGTAGGACAACCTCGTCGGGAGTGGTTCAAAGGTGACGTCCTATTACGTTCTGGTTCGCATCATAACATTCAAATTCTAGACTCAGGAGAAATCATTATCACCATGCTGCAGTCAGCCGATACCGGTAACTACACCTGTCAGGTTGACAACGGAATCGGAACTGATCGACTGACGCACAATCTACTAGTTCAAGTTCCTCCGGGACCACCTGTCCTGTACGTAACCAGTGCTACCTCCAGCAGCATACTGCTACACTGGAAAATCGGAGCAACAGGAAATGCTCCTATTACAGCATTTTCGTTACACTACCGAAGAGTTCATGGAAACCTAGAGGAGATGCAAATTTCTCGGCATGCGCAAAGCCACGAGCTGAAGGGACTGTTCTGTGGAACTACTTACCAGATTTATCTGGTAGCGCACAATAAGATTGGCTCTTCGCCGGCAAGTACCACGTTGAATCTTAGGACCCAAGGGCAAGCACCCGGAATTCCAACAGCAGCAGTATTGATAGCTCCGAACTCCACGTCGGTTGTCTTGCGGCTCAACGCATGGCCGGACAACGGTTGTCCAATATTGTATTTCGTCGTTCAGTATCGGTCAGTGGCGAACAATTTGGATGACGAGTGGCACTTGGCTTCCAATGCACTTAAAATGCAGCGTCGATATACTGTTGCGGGACTGCTGCCATCCACTCTATATCAGCTCAAGATCGAGGCTCACAACGTGGCTGGATCGACGAGTGCCGAGTACAACTTCGTAACACTCACCAAGGATGGAGGTTGGTTTCAAATATTTAATATACCTTTGCGTGTTAGGGTGTGGTCTCAGTCAGTAAAGGCATGGTCCGGTCGAGAAATTCTACTGGATTGGAAATTTTCTTGACTTCCCTGGGCACATAGCAATAATTGTGCTTGTCGCACAATATATAATTTCATGCGTTGGTTGGCATAGGAAGCTCTCAGTTAATAACTGTGGACATCTAGAACACTAAGTTTAGAGAAGATAAAACACTAGTAAAAGAAGCATAAAACGCCTATAAGAAGAAGAATAAGAAGTGTTAGGGCGTTGGTCTTCTTCGCCATATGGGACCCATTTCCGTCATACGCCTTCGCCCCAGTCGTTAGTAAGTTTCGCAAGTCAAAGGGACTTTTTACAGACTTTCGTAACTTACGAATCGTAAGACACAACATTACTCTGAATCACTCTAAATTATTCAATGTGGAACCTTCTTCCCGAGCAGGAAAAAATAACTTATCAATACCAAATTCAGGTATGAAAATAGCATAACTGGCAACCTAAATATGGTATTAGTGAGGCTGACATAAGAGGTAAAATACCTCAAAAATATTCTACGAATAACGAATTAATAAATAATTTAGTTATTACAATAACAAACGGATAACAGACGCTTTTTTAGATGCCAGAATACCATAGTTTTTTTATTTCGAAGGTCTTTTAATACCAATTCAATAACTCTTTTAGGTGTTATTGTCTAAAAACTGAAAGATCACATTTTGTTATTTTGGTATTCATTTGATATTTTACAAAATATTTCGATAACTGAATAATATCAAAACAAGGTTTTATACCACAAGCATAGCAAAATCTGGTATCATACCACATTAAGATATTCATTTGTTATCGATTATCTATCGGTTCCTGCTCGGGTTTAATAAATCCTAGTTAGATATCATAAAATGCAAAACATCCTGAGAGGAAAGAACTCCTACGGAATTTTGGAAAGTATTCTCAATAGAATTGAGAGAGATGTCCGAAAAAAATCATTGCAAATTTTAGGTGTGGGAAAATATTGGCTCTGGAAAAACTGTTTGTTCGCTTCAATCCATCGTAATCCTACACGGCTAATGAGATCAACCCAAATTTGAGTTCAGTTTACTCATAAATCGCAAAAAGTGCAGGAAATTTCTCATGTTTTTCCAGGTTTTTCCAGGAAAAAATTCCAGAATATGAGAAAATTAAAGATTGGATTCTCTCAGTCTATTGATTCTACTCCTAGACTGAGTAAAATTTACGTAAATTTTCCTCATTTTCCGGCAGATTTTTGAGGTTTTGCACAGGAAAACATGAGGTAAATTTACTCATCGCTGAGTTCCTTCACTTTTTGCGATTATGAGTAAACTGAACTCAAATTTGGGTTGATCTCATTGGCCGTGTAGGATTACGATAGATTGAAGCGAACAAACAGTTTTTCCAGAGCCAATATTTTTTCTCGTAAAAAAAATGTTCTTGATATGTGCACCAGTTTTTCCATGCTCACATATACGCGCAATGTTACCAGTTTTGGTCCTACCCAATAAGAACAACAAGGGCCAAAACTGGTACAATATTTAAGCAGTGCCATAACTGGTGCACCTTCCCCATATTAAATGTAAGAAACCCACAAGTAAACCCAAAATTGGTGATGTACTTTTTCGGAAAATTCATCGTCCCGCAGTGCACAATGGATTTTTTTTTAAATGCATTTAATTCAATGTCTCAAAATGCCGCTGGATATGATGGAATATTGATACATCCAACGATATTGATATTTGATTTTGGTGAGAAATCGAATGCTTAGGCGGTTTCTCACGGCACGAATCATTTTCCGGTAGTTTAGGGGGAAAATAAAGATTTTTACCCTATTTTTAGTGCTTAAAATTGTGTTATGGTCGATTACTATGTAAAATGTCAATCGAGTTTTACAAAACCAGCTTCATATGAAAGGTAAAATCGTCCTCCATAATCGAATGTGCCAAATGCGAAAAGTTTTTTGCTCTTAAAGACCTTCCAAAAAAAGTTCCAAAAAACTCAGTTTTATTTTGCACAAGCGTCGAAAACCTCCAAACAAAATTTTGCCCCACTCGAACTTTTGCCTCACCTTACTCTACCGGCCTGAGACAAAATTACGAATAATCCTTGACTGCTAAAGTGACTATAATTAAAAAGGGCTCACTTCATTTAATTTCCTGAAGCATCTTTCTAGAGGATGTTTTTTTTCCGAAAACTGCTCGGTACCTCGGAATCCACAAAAGCTGTCGTTGTCGAAAGCTGCGAGCAGGAACATGGAGGTTTACTTGTTGCAGAAGATGTGTACAGTCCAAGCGATTGCAAAGCATTTCTGCAAGTAAACCCTACGCTGGTGAGAGGCCTAGACTTATCAGTTTACATCAGTGTTCGTATGGAGTTAGTCGGCAAGAGTCATTCCACGGCAGGTTTCGCAAAGCAAACCTGATGAAGCACGAATTCTGCGCACCAGAGAGCAGTAGAGAACTGTCAGTGCAAGGATATCACGAAACTCAGCACGGTTTCAACGAATGAAACTCAGGACATAGTTACTCCCAGGTCTTTTTTGACGCGTCCCAGTTCAACTGAATTAGTAGTGGAAGATTTGTGGCGAACTGGTACTACTGAAGCTAATAACCGTGCATTTTATAGCGTTCATCTCCATTGCATGGAGCGTTGTTTTACATAGCATGTAGTGTGTTATACCAGTGTTATAGCATAGAGGTAACTCTAAGACCAGAGGGTCCCGAAGAAACCCCTAGTAGCACGCTTGTCACAAATCAATTGTAGAAACTTATATACGGCTTTTTCAGTCATAAACAAGTTGCTGTAACTTATTGTGATGAAAGTGTGGTACTCGGGACGTGCTCAACATTTGGCTGTGGTACTGTCTTCAGTCCCAAGCTAATCGATGCTAATAGGAAAATCCACGAACCCCTCATTTTATCTGTCGAACGTTCATAGTACTAGAATTTCGACTAGAATGGGGTACGTTAATCGATTTGCTTGCGACCAATAGGCTAGTCAAGTAGTGAGCCAATTTAAAGTTAGCGTTAGTTTCCACCGTTTGGTTATACCTCGTTCAGGCTACAGAATTATAACATCTTATAATACTTATCAACAAGAAAAATGTCATCGAGATAGCCTTATAACAGGTTATATCTCACATTTCACTAAGTAGGTTGATCCGAAATGCATATCATAAAATGGAATGTTCTAAAAAAAATCACATTGTCAATTATGTGTGTACATTCGATGTGATGCCTTCCGTTTCTGGCTATCGAGACTCCAAACAGTTGCTATGTATTCTAGACGAACATTTCAGAAGGTCCTAAGAATCGGTTAATGCAGATAAGAGCTTTTGAAATGTTCATCTAGTAGTGACGGTCATTTCTCCAAAACATTAACGAAATCACCTAAATGCTTACTCCTTTTGTTTTTAGATCCACCACCGCCAGATATACTGCATCGAGGACATCGCGCTCAAGTATTCTACAGCAACATTCAGCTGCTGATACCGATTATCATCACCATCACGGCAACCATCATCTGCATTGCGTTCACAGTAGTTTGCTACAAATATCGTGAGTATATTGTCCTGTTCTGTTTGGGTTACGGCACTGAGCCTCCTCGTTACTTCCCAGGCCAACGTGGTCGGGAGAGGAAGGACACGATGGAAGGTAACCAACAGAGCTCAGACGCCCAGCGGGACCGCTACTATGCTACCATCCACAAGGTGGCACTGCAAGCTGGCGACAAGATACCAGGTATTCTATTCGTTGGCGTCTCACAAGAATATCTAAGGTACTAATGAGCTTCCACTCCCAATAGAAACCTCCGAGGACATTTCACCGTATGCCACTTTCCAGCTGTCGGAAGCAAGCACTTTGGCTCAGCCTCATCACAGTGGGCCAGCCAACACTCTGTTGCACTCCTTCATGTACCACGAACGTGCCATGACTGAGGGATGCGCTTCGCCACCTCCCGCAGCGGTACTGAGACAGCTTCATAATCAATCGCCTTACTATAATATTGTGCGTTTAACTTATTTCCTTTTACAAATCTGCACTCACACACACACGCTAATTGGCTTCTAGTTCTTGCTTTTGTAACGTTTGATCAATCTCATTTTCATTATTTCTAAATTCCACACTCATGAGTTTGGGACACGTATAATCATTGAAGTTTTAAGCTTTAAGCGCGCGATAGAGGCTTTATGCGTGAACACGTGAGTTCTGTCTGTCTGACAAAGCCCATATTAACGGATACCGTATTTCTCTTGTTTTGCCATCAGAATTCGTCGAAAGGTCGTCGAAGGCATTCGCGTAAAACTGAGCCTGAAAGTGAAGAATCAGACTCCGACCCGGACCAGTTAACGTCCAGTCGAACTGAATCGTCGAATCAGCTGGACGCCAAGATCAAGCACAGTAAGGAAGACCTTCTACAACCAGCCGCCTGTGGGGATGATGAGCTCGTCTATAACCAGCATTTCATGCGTTCCATTCCAGGTCTCATCTATCATGGCACGCAATCGAGCACCTCATCCGACCTGTCACCGATGTCCGAACAAAAATCACTACCTCGTCGTGGCAGATCAAGGTACCATCACCTTCATCTCCATAACACCAACACTACACCACGACACAAATCCTCTCTCAGTAGCAAAACCGTTCAATCGCCAATCGCATCCCCTCGTAGTAGTTGCCAAAACGATACTCAAACGATTCAACTTCCTCGCATGCCGTCCCAGTTTCGTCCCATACACAGTAGTAGAACAATCAACACTCCATCACGACTATCCTCCGATTGTTGATGAAATTGTGCCATTCCGAATTAGAATTAGACGCCATTGTTGCAAAATTTAAACCAAACTCGAACGATTGTAAACTAAATCTTTTTAAACAAAACACGTTAAACCATGGAAAAATGGAAGATGCTAAAAGTAAACCCACAAAAACTGACAAGGTTTCTTCAACAACCCATTAATCTTTAACTGATTTTTAAAATACGATCCGTTCTTTCATTGTTGAATCATTGATCAATAAAAAAATCGTGAAATATGTTGTTTGAATCTAAACCAAAATCGTTAAAGTTAAGACAACAACTACAATCAAACACACATCTATATGTATAGGGGAACAATGAGATCCTTACTTACACCACTACATTTACCCGACAATACACCGGGAGGCGGTGGCGGACCGCTGTTCCACCAGGTGCCGATCGAGAGTGGCACGCCGGACCGGCTGGAGCTGTCGGAGGCGGAGTGCGACATCGACACGATCAAGAAGCTGAAGCTGGGTATGCGTTCGTCTCTGTGGTCCCGACCCCAGCAAAGCCATAGTGCGGTGGCGAATGCAGCAGTCGGTGGTAACGGTGCCGGTGGTGGACCAGGAGGAGGAAACGGCAGCACAACCCAGGCACCGGGTGGCCATCCGTCGGATTACTCGATTGCGGTATAAAGTGGTTACTCTACTCCTACCAAACGTACTTTTGAAGACCATGTGCAGGATTTATATGGACACTTTTTTAGAGATACCTACATCTCTGTTTCAACTGAGACCGGATAGGGTTTTATTTAGGCATCTCTGAGGTAGGTTAAGTTGCAGGTATATTTCGCAAAACATGCACCTATCATGCAGGAAAAGTACTGAGCATAAATTTTAAACGAGGGTAATGTTCCAAATTTTATAAACAATACTGATTCAAAATGAGCAGTGACTAGCAACGATGGGTTTGAAGTTTTCCCGACAAAGTTTGTTTTGTCTAAGAAAGGTATGACAGACCTATTTGGGCCCATGCATTAATTATGTCACGCTAAATCGAGCAAAAAATTAGCCCCTCCCCCTCTCCCCCCCCCCCTCGCGTCGTTTTTCCTATACCTAATGCATTGCTTGTCACAAAATTTTAGACCCCCCCCCCTCCCTCCTTAGAGCGGGACATATATGCATCAACCCTTTATGATTAAGGGACTTCTGTTTTGAGCCAATATCTTTATTTTGGAGTTATCGGTACATTCCAGGATTGAAGCAGTTATCTTCTTTGCGAAGATTGGGGAATTTATTGAGTCTCTGGTATATAAAAAAATAAGCATGATTGAGTGTCATTTTCAGCAGCGCCGATGGTGTAGTGGTAAGCATGACAGCCTCTCACTCCAAAGGGCCTGGGCTCGTTCCAAGTCAGCGCCGTCGAGATTTTCTGAGGCATAAAATCTCTGCTCACGATCAGGGAAGTAAAGCCGTTGGTCCCCGGTCCATAAGTTGATGGATCGATAAGTCCAAGTGTGGAAGCGGCCTCCATGGTGTCGACAGCATTGGTATCAGTACGGAAAACAAGATCCACGGAAAACAAATCAAGGTTCAAGTTTGGAAAAATCAGGCTGCGAGATTTTATTTATTCTCTATCTCCGCTGTTCGCTTGGAATGTAGTTATAAATGGCAGCCCGTGTGCTGGCTGTTTTGTTTCGCTCTGGACGACGGTTTTTCAAAAAATGTACTGTTGCCACCTTTGGTTGCGAGACTATTCTCAACATGTAAAAGTGATGCTGAGAGCGAGGCTGAGAGTTGACTCAACACAATAATGATTCCGTTGCACATCGTTTTCTTAGAATTATACAGGGGCCTGACTGCTGGCCATGTTTTTGATGCTATCTGTCGCGACCGTCCATTGTTTCTCCAGGTTTGCGGTTTGATACTGGCTTGATGAATGGGCGCTACTGTTAAGCAGTCCCGGTCAGGGTATCACCCCTGCGACTGATGAATAGATCTCAGAAGCCGCACTGAGGTAAACTCTTCAAAAGACCTGACTGTGGATGCCACTGAAGCTGTGGTTGCTAGATAAGCGCTACTGTTGTGTAGCCTCGGCCCGGATGTTGTTGTTCCTGGATGAGCGCTACTGTTGAGTGATTGAGGCCCACTGCTGCTGTATTTGCGATCTGCTGCTGGTTCTTGGTGTTACCGCTTCCAAGTCTGCCGTAATTCATCGCTACTACGCTATCATCTGCTCTTGTCTTCCTGCTTATAATATGATTTTCCATCCCTTTCTACCATGTATACGTCAGGCGGTATACGTATTTAAATAAGGCCCGTTATTTTGCCTACTGTCAAACGTATAGGATTGATATGGGGTTGCCAGCCTCCTGGAATTATAGTTTATTATTTCTCTTTACTCTTCACAACACGAAGCTACTGCTGCCAGCAGTGACGGTAGTTTCGAGATCGAAGAGACAAAATGTCGAAGAGGCAAAGGTCGAATTCCAGAAGGTTGACTCCTTTTTATACCATGAGAATTTCTTTGCCAGATATAAGCTAATGAACACTTCAATTTAAAGTGCTTGCAAGTTCATTCAATTTTTTGTCCATTTGACCTTTTGTCTATGTCAACCTTCATTCGAGCTTTTGTCTACTCGAACTTTTGTTCATTTAAATGTCATTCGACCTTTTGCCAAATCACCATTGTGCATTTTGGCATTTTTTTTCCATTCGACCTTTTGTCTATTTCGATCTTTTGTTACTGTAAATTTCAGTCGAAATGTTGTTCTTTAAATTCCATTCAACCCTTTGTACCTTCAACCCTTTGTCCATTCGACCTTTTGTGATAGATTTCAAGAGCGTAGCAAGCCATCACTGTGCCGATAATGAAGCGCGTATATTCCTATAGTTCCATACAAAATACAAAAAAATATATACATGCCCTCCTAGCGTGAACTTAATTTGAGTGCAACGAACGAAATACAAAACACTGTTTTTTTTTTATCGGTACCAAAAATCGAACGATATTGATCAATTCAGTTCCCAAACTGATCCACATTTCGACGCAGTCGGCGCTTGTCCTACCTTTTGTAAAGCATGATATCACTAGTATTAACGTTAGATGTCTTGCCGCTTTTTGAAAGACTTTCTTCGCTAGTGGTTAACTAGCACCGAGAGGAACTCTGCAGTAATAACAACAATCAATACGAAACTAACGATTTAAAATTGGCTCACTAGTTGACTAGCCTATTGGTCCCAAGCAAACGATTAACGTACCCCATTCTAGTCGAAATTCTAGTACTACGCAATGTTTGTTTTGATTCGCTTTGAATGTTTGACAGATAAAATGAGGGGTGATTGGTTTTTCTTATGTTTCGAGGGGTGAATCGATTAGCTTAGTACCGAAGATAGTACCAGAGCTGAGCCAAAAAGTTGAGCTCGTTTCTTCGGGACCTTCTGGTCTTAGAGTTACCTCTATGGTAATAACATCTAATGAGTTGCCGGTAGTTCATGTATTGTACGAATGAGCACGTTTCTTCGGGACCTTCTGGTCTTGGAGCTCTTAAGGTAAAATCCATAAGCAAACGTCAGGCTGTGCGTGAAACATGGCAGACTTCGTACTATCCTTTCACTCCAACGAAAATTTCCATAAGAAACTGTTACTCTTTGCAAGAAGAGACGATTTTTCGACGGTAAAGTCAACGCCAATGGTTAGCTATTTTTTTGTGGATACATCTCCACATTCACAGTGTTCACTCGGCTGTCGACAAAAGCAGGCCACTCTCGATGTGTGCCACGCGATCGTCTGCTTTCTCGGCAGCAACCATTGCAATTGTGTGGTCCTCCTCATTGTTCTTCATCAGCAGTTCTTTCGGTCGATGCGTCGTCGACTTTGGAAAGCAACCGTTTAGTGATGAGTGTGTGAGTGTTGACCACGTTTTGCGTCCGTTGCTGCAATGGAAGCGCTTTGCCCCACGATGGCGTAACTGCCATACAATGAAACCACTGGAAGCGGCTCCAGTTCTGATGGAGGAGATTTTTTGCATAGCGGAAGATAAAGTGTTTATTGTGTTGTACCTTTTGACTATAGTTTTAAGATGTATTGTATAGTGACCAAGAATCCTCGGCTCTGTAAAGTTAATTCGGTTGAGCCTTCTTCTTCTTCTTATTCGCATTTCAAGCTTATTGCTTAGCGCATATTAGCTTGTTGCGTGCTCTCAACTTAGTGTTCTAAATGCACTTCCACAGTTTTTAATTGCGAGCTTTCGATGCCAATACCAATGCATGAATTTGTATATTGTGTGGCAAGCACAATGATACTCTATGCCCAGGGAAGTCGAGAAAATTTCCAACCCGAAAGATTCCCTCGACCAGACCGGGCCTTTACTGACTAGGCTATGAGGCCCCCCCGGTTGAGCCTTATCAAATAAATTAATGAACAAAAAAAAATCTCCACATTCACTACTCGAACGATAGTGACTCGCGTTGCTCCAGATCCACTGACTCATCCTACTCTCTTCGTGCCCAGTAGAAAACAATTTCATGTTGTCTGATTCTCACCGCTCGCGTGGTTCACAATAACCGTTTGAAAATATATTGATTTCTATAATCATAAGAAGGTTACAAAAATTGGATGTGTATTGTGCTGGATGTGTCACTTACAAAAGCTACGTTTCATTGTTGATTGTATGTGAGTCTTAACATAAATCCGTTTTTTTTTTTCTTAATGGTGTCCTTCTACCGCTGTTATTTAATATAAATAGCGATTTATATCGGTTTTTGTCTTTCGGTATAGTACTTACTATGCGCGTTCCCACAGTGTTGTGCTCCTTGTATTTTTAAGTTCTCGCTTAGCTTCAAAACATTACCTAAGCTGTTACAAAAATCCCAGCGAAACGTCGTTTTTGCTACTTTAGAAGACTGAAAGTGCCGAAAATCTCCAAGACAGTAACTTCTTTACACCAGTCGTGAGCTCTCAAATACTCATTATTAGTATAGTCTTTTTATCACTATTGGGTCATTAACTCGTGACTTTAGCATGAGAGGTATGCTGCCGTTCTTCGCATGTCGGTCCCATGGCAAAAATCAGCAAGCCGAGAAAATCGCATTTTAAGCTTGATTCGTACCATTGCTTCTTATGTGATGAGACAACCAATTTGGCAGTCTTTCCAAACTTTTTCAGAACAAAGTTATTGAGTTCATCCAGTATTAAGAAAATATGGGTGATCAGCTACCATTTGCATTGTAAAACTCAGTTTTGACAAAAACTGCTATGGGACCGATATGCGAAGAGCGGCAGTATGGATTCTAACCACTACGCCGGGGCCGTCCCCTCCCTACCTGTTTTAGGTGTCATTGGCCAGGTTGATTATTGCGATATGATACCATTGACGAGTGCAGCGATGGATTCATTAAAGAAAACTGAGATAGAATGAATAATGAACTTATTTTTTTTTCTTCAGTGCATGAACTTGAATACATGGGTGCACTCGTCAATGTACTTTAGAGAAGTCGGGTTTAGAATGAAAATTGTTTGAACTATGAGTCGCTACCCATTTTCACTGATGTCATCCACTGGGTCGTCAAAAGGTCGTGCTTTCCTATGAACGGGTGTTAAGTCAAGCACTTCTGTAGCTTTATTATTTAACTATAGCAACTCATCGTTTTGCTAGTCATTCGAGGCACTGAAAAAGCACATTTAACATTTCAGTTTAATCTAGGCAATATGAAGCTAATAGAAACAGACCAATCAACTGAAGACAAAACAAATCGGTGCCAACAATATAACACTGCAAGTACCAAAATCAAAACCAAATACACACACACACACACACACACAAAGATCTAATGTTAGCGATGCGAAACTGATGATATAGTCTTAGCTATACTTTCTGATGTGGAACTGTTACAAAATCAGATCACAACAACAGATGATTGCCATCGAACGAGTGACCCGATCGGCACGAAAAACAAATGGTTATTAGTAATCAAAATTATTTTAAGTCGAGTTTGTAGATAAAATTTTATACTCTAAAGCAAATATATACAAGCGTTTGGATGCTACATAGAGA